GAAAATTTACAGAAACCATTTTTAGAATACCATGCACCTACAAGTTTATGGTTTATGGTTTAATCAACGGATCAACATCATGGCACACGGATGTAACCCATAAGTGCTCCGTTCTACTTCTTATTCAACACCTTTACTTTCCATGGTCTTAACTGGAACTAGCGAGGTCGAATTGGGAACCAAGGTCAGTTTTGACAGAAAATCTAAATTCGCGATGCCTTACTAACGCGTGGGTTAAAGAGATTAAGTATTGTAGTCACTAGACCAGTGTTGCCACTTAGGATGTTTTACATCCAGATTTAGATGTTTTCCCTTGCATGTAGATGGCGTTTTATTTGACGTTTAGATGGTAGATGTTTTTCTAGAAGTTTTTCATTTAGGAGTGAATTTATCAAATGTAACCTAAGAAACAGGATGAAATTTGACCTTTTAAATGCTATCTTGACAATAAAATTCGGCCTGATAAGAGTAGGAAAAGGCTGTTCCACTTATCAGCTCCCTGATTGGGTATTAAAAGAAAGAGGAACAGCTAAAGCATACCAGAGTCATTTAGGATTTGAAGCTTCAATTTCATCATCCAAGATAAGTTTATCCTGTGGATCTTGTAAGGCAGACTTTAGTAAAGAGGAGGACACGATTCTCTAGGGTAAGTCATATCAATTGCTATGTAATTTGTGTCTCTTTCCATTTGGATGTTTTTTCTAGATGTTTTCCACGCAAATTTAGATGTCTTTAGACATTTTTTGACTCCGTTTTGGATGTGTTTTTTTCAAAGAAAAGTGGCAAGACTGCACCAGACGCTCGCATGCTGATTGGAATGTCTTGGGTTCAAATCCACTTTAAGCTGGTTTTCACTTTCAACAAGAAAAACCCTCAGTTTTTAGGTAAAAGTGTAAGTAAAGCAAAGAACCCCCTTCCACGCCTTCTAGCGTATTGGGCACATAGGGCTAGACATATATTTTATAGATCAATCGGTACTGGGTGGGTGAGATGTGGTCGACATCATACCGACCGCCTTTACTTCCCATAAGTTTCCCATGTATAGATTTAAGTATAGATCGACCTGGAAGGGGGTGGGGGGGGGGGGGCGGGAGTCCAACTCCACGAGGACGTGAACCCACCACCTTTTGATCCATAGACCGCGTTTGGCTGCTACTATCCTGCCTAAAATTGGTAAAAGGAAATGCCTCGGAAAGTAAACACGTCCCGAGTAATTGTTACAACATCATCTTCCAAATACCGATTGGTCAGTAAATCTTTGGATCCAGCAACATCACGTGCCATGCTGACTGGCGTGGGCGTTTATGCATCTCCACATATCTCTGTCTCTAGTTCTCTGGATCAGTTCCACCGATGATATCCCTCCGTGCCGCCGTCGCAATCCATCCGTCATCATCTCTCTCGGTCTGCCTCTGCTTCTTCTACCGCTGATTTTTCCAGTCGTTATACCCTTCTCCACCGCACCATATCCCTATGTGAAAAAGAGATGAAACGGATCGTTGACTTTTTGTAAGTTTTAATGCATCAATCCAATTGGCAAGATCCCGCACTTGAAGCTTCACTTATTTCTTGCAGGTTCTTAAAAACTGGAGGGATTTCAACTCAAGCTGACACCTCCATTTTGTTCCAATCAAGTTCTCAGTTTGAAAAGGAAAAAAAACGGATTTAGACGTCCGGGGAATTGCAACATAGCATCGTTGGTAATTCTGTCTTGACGGTTGCAAGGAGTATTTAGTTAGTGTTTGGTGCAATGATGTATTGGTAAGGAACTTGCATAAATGGGGAAAAGGGCAGGGTGGGGGTGTATGGGGGAAGGAGGGGGTGGGAGACGGGGAGAACGAACGAACGAACCAACGTACGAACGAACTTTATTTTCAAATGGTCACACATTGGGCACGCAGGCCCGTCTTACATTCGGCCCTTCCAGTCAACCATCTTTCGCACAGCAGTTGTATTTTACACATAAAGTATGTTATAATCCTATGATCATAGGATGATATGCATATTATGAATATTATAAAAGAATACAAAAGCATGAGTTGTAAAGTGCATGCAAAAACCCGCTTGCATACACACACCAACATACACACGCTCACCCACTCACTTACACACACATACATACATGCATGCATGTATGCATGCATACACACACACACACACGTACACACACACACCACAGACAGACAGACAGACAGACGCACAATTAGACAGACAGACAGACAGACAGACGGACAGACAGACAGACAGACAGACAGACAGACAGACAGACAGACAGACAGACAGACAGACAGACAGACAGACAGACAGACAGACAGACAGACAGACAGACAGACAGACAGACAGACAGACAGACAGACAGACAGACAGACAGACAGACAGACAGACAGACAGGCGAAATAGTGTGAGGTCCCCAGGTGAGTTCCCGATACCTTATTTATGAAGAAGAGAAAAACAGCAATCTCTTAACAAGCATGTCCTAAAATGTGGTTAATTAAGAGTTTCATGAAATAAGATGCATTGCGAAAGCTCTTGTTGTTGTTGTTGTTGTTGCTGCTGCTGTTGTTCTTCTTCTTTTTTCTTATGTTTCTTCTTCTTCTTTTTCGTCGTCTTCTTCTTCTTCTTCTTCTTCTTCTTCTTATTATTATTATTATTATTATTATTATTATTATTATTATTATTATTATTTTTAATATTATTATTATTATCCTCTTCCTCCGCCATCATCATCATCATTATCATCATCACCATCATCATATTCATCATATTCTTCCTCCTCTTCAATCTATTTCTTCTTCTTTTTCTTCTTCTTCTTCTTCTTCGTCGTCGTCGTCTTCTTCTTCTTTTTCTTCTTCTTCTTCTTCTTCTTTTCTTCTTCTTCTTCTTCTTCTTCTTCTTCTCTTCTTCTTCTTCTTCTTCTTCTTCTTTTTCTTCTTCTTCTTCTTCTTCTTTGATTCTTCGGTTCTCTTCTTCTTCTTCTTTTCATTCTTTGTTCTTTTCTTCTTCTTCTGGCGTCTTCTTCTTCTTCTTCTTCTTCTTCTTCTTTCTTTCTTCTTCTTCTTCTTCTTCTGATTTTCTTCGTCTATCTTCTTCTTCTTCTTCTTCTTCTTCTTCTTCTTCTTCTTCTTCTTCTTCTTCTTCTTCTTCTTCTTCTTCTTCTTCTTCTTCTTCTTCTTCTTCTCGGTATTCTTCTTCTTCTTCTTCTTCTTCTTCTCGCTTCTTCTTCTTCTTCTTCTTCTTCTTCTTTCTTCTTCTTCTTCTTCGGCATTGTTTCTTCTTCTTCTTCTTCTTCTTGTTTCTTCTGATTTCTTCTTCTTCTTCTTCTTCTTCTTTCTTCTTCTTCTTCTTCTTCTTCTTCTTCTTCTTCTTCTTCTTCTTCTTCTTCTTTTCCTTCTTCTTCTGTTTAGTCTATCGGCTGTAAATACACTCGTCTGCTTGCTCGATTTAAGTTTTTTTTTTCTTTCTAGGAACTGAATGTTTTATACACACCCAATATCTTACACTCTTGCAGACTGTTGGTTTCCTGCCTCTTAAGCAGATGCATTCTTAATTAAAGAGGCGTTGATTCTGTCTCTATCGGCCAGACCACCGGCTGGGCCCCTTTTTCTATGTTGACCCCACAGAGCTTTGACATGTCAAGGCCAGTGTGAATCCTGGTCGTGGTGCACCACTACGTTCAGCATGGTGACGCATCCCATAACACTATTCACTCAATCTGCATTCATTCCTTCATTTGCTCACAATCACGTATTTATTTACTCATTTATTCATTCCTTCATTCACTCACAATCACTTATTTATTTACGGCCTTCATTCACTCACAATCACTTATTTATTTACTCATTTATTCATTCCTTCATTCACTCACAATCACTTATTTATTTACTCATTCATTCATTCCTTCATTTGCTCACAATCACGTATTTATTTACTCATTTATTCATTCCTTCATTCACTCACAATCACTTATTTATTTACTCATTCATTCATTCCTTCATTCACTCACAATCACTTATTTATTTACTCATTCATTCCTTCATTCACTCACAATCACTTATTTATTTACTCATTCATTCATTCCTTCATTCACGCACAATCACTTATTTATTTACTCATTTATGTATTCACACCTTTATTCTCTCACAATCATTTATTCATTTTTCCTGTGTGGGTTCTGCGACCCCAGGAGGACCTCCGAGGAGAAGTGGTTACGTAGTTTTTCATTTCTCGGCTGTGTCGTTCGGTTAACCAAAGCAATTTTTAGAGATCCGTGGGGATCGTCATAGGAACTGCGTAGTTCGTGTTTTGTGTGCCGCTCTCGGAGGGCAGATAGCTTTTGATCTCTCGTTGGTAGACTGAGCTATATGGGATTAAAAACTGCCCAGAAAAATGAATTTCTCTCTGCTTTAACTTCACCTGGAAAACCCGTTTGGGAGAAAAGAAAAAAAAGGAGAGGGGGTGAGGGTTGGGGGATATTGGAAGCTTGAATAGACCCCCCCCTCCCCCCCCCCACCCTGTTATAGTTCATTCCGTCCTTTTTAGGACGAAATTTTTTTTAAATTTGAAGCCCCACCCTGGCTTTTGCCAGAGGCCGCAATTGTCTGAACGCGGTTTCTGGGACCTCTCCACGGCGATCCTCATCCGCATGGTGGCACTTTGTGTCATCGGGTGTTTATCGCTTGTGTGATGTCCTGGTGGAGTAGAAATGCATTCATTGATTCCTCCCCCCCCCCCCACCCCCACCCCCAACCACTTTTAACTAATTGACAAATGAGAGGTGATTTCTTCGAAGTCGGAGTATATCTGCCAGAAAGAGGAAAACCGAATAAGCGAGAACTATAAACTGGTTTCGCACTGACAACTCCCATTCTGGAACAAGGCTAAAGTCCATAAGTGGACGAATGACCAGAATTTTCCGCCTGAGTTCAGTTGGTGAGCGCTAGGAAGATGAAGAAGAAGAAGAAGAAGCATTTATTCACACAAAACAAACACAACATACATACCATTGTCGATGAAGCCGTAGATCCCGTGGAAATCCCTGTTAGTTGAGTTTGCACGTTACCGGAAGACGTTTCTCCAGCTTCCGGGTCAGAGGTCGTATACTGAGGTGGCAAAGATGGCCTCCGCGGCCGTCTAACAGACTGGTGTTTCTTGCGCAGCGTTGTTCCTTTGCGAACAAACATGACTGGGTCCTCAGTGAATTAAGTTGAATCAGAAAAGCTGTTTTCCAGAAATTTTAAGAATAAACTAAATCTGGACTTCCAGAAACCCCTACTGTCAGAGTTCGAAATGGCTGTATTCGTAGTTCATTTGAGACGTGGTTTTCGGGGTTTTTTGATATACCAATAACAACGAAAATTAATTCTTTGATTTGAGGTTATGATTCTGGAGGGAAAAAAATGTACATATTAGAATCGTTAACAAAGCAAGAATGAACGGGTTACAAATAACAGAAACAAAAAGAAAGTTCCAGTACCCAATACGCCCATAATGTTTAATGATTAATTAAGAACCGACGTCACAGAACTAAGAACATCTCTATAAGTGCTCTGTCTCCATCTTCAGCTGCGAACGCAGAGTTCCAGTTTTAGTGGTACCATTAGCAGTCTGACTGTATATCCGTCGCACCTTTCCCTCGAGTGCTAATCGTGGACCAGATCCCATGATCTCCCCTTGCAGTATCATTCTTTTTTGACCCTGATGATCTATCTGTGCTTCCACATTGTTTACTCGCCCCCAGAGGACCCTTACAACATCTAGCTTGTCATGCATCAGTTCATCACTAAGTTGTGAAGAACCAGCCAGTCTATCTGCCTGTTCATTTCCTTATACACCGACATTTCCTGGGGAACATGTCCAAAAGATGCTAACTACACGAGACCTCTTACACAATGCTTGCCGCTCTTCGAGGAACATACCGGTCTCCACCTTTCTCAACATGCTCTGTGAGACGGCTACAATTACGGCATGTGTGTACAGCTGATTCTCAAGCCAGCGGAAGGCCGCAGTGATTGCCTCTACCTCCATGCTCAAACTAGATAGTGCTGTATCATTAGCCATGATTTGTTGCACTAAGCGAAGCCCATCAACTTTTGCTAAGAGCACCCCATGGGCTTCGTCTGCCTCTCAAAACTAAGCCATCTGTATAAATTATCACATCACTTGGCGAGCATTGTCATGAATCATTTGTCGAACTTCTGATTCTGCAGCTCCCGCTGGCCAGTCCCTGCACTTACAGATCATGGTTTTCAATACCCTACACAAGTCTGACTTTTGCTCGGATATTTCAACCCACTCATCTGCTCACCCAATGTTTTTAAGCCCACACACATGTGTAACTGTGTCTTCAGCCTGCGCTATCCAAGACCTTCCTATTTTCACTCTGTGACCCTTATCTCTACCAAGATACAGGAGGTGTTTCTTATCTGCATCTACTCTGAGATATGTTTGCTCTCAGCACTTTGAGTCTATCTGTAATAGTCGGCAGTGTAAGTATATAACAGACATACAACCAGTGTACCTCTTGTACACCCCAGAATTAGGCTGTGCGTTCAAGTTTCATCAACTGACTCTTTGAGATATGGTAAGCATTCCAAGTCCACAATCTATCACCGACGTGAGCACGTGCTGGAACATTGTGAATAACATTCTTTGTTCCAGATCCATTGCCGACATAATCTGAAGTGTACTGAGTCCGCTGTGGTGTTTCTCCTGAGCGTCCTCTACATGATCCACAAAGAAAATGATACCCAGATACCTCAGTTTGCTTTCTCTTTTGCTGTTTCTGTCGTTAATTGTGAGATCTGAAACTTCAGATCTTATAATTCCATTGTCAAAAGAGCATCATAAAACGGCCGCATTTTGCGGGCCCGTTGAAAGCAACCATCGCTGCCCAAACGTCAGTCACTTTGTCTACAGTTGTCTGTAGCTGTCTGTTACCTATCGCTCCCCTGTCTATATGCAAGAACACCGTCTGCAGACGTCAATATCCGCCCAACCCCTGGTGCTTCAAGTTCCACAGTCCTGCTTGTATACAAAATAAACAGCCCTGGTAAAATTGCAGAGCCCTGTGGTAATCTCGGTGCGATACTGCATGGTTTTAAGTTCCATGTACCTAGGCTGAGGGCGACTTCACGTGAATACAGGACAGCTTCTATCCAGTTCACCAGCCAGGGACACTGCATAAGCTGTTCTGGTGCTCTCGTTGAAGAAGAAAGCCATCTTCCACAAGTCCTGTTCACCCATGCCCTTCATGTGGACAAACCTGACTATGTATCATGTACACTAATAATCTCACGATAGCTATCGTTAACTGAATTTCTGCGTCCCATATCAAACGGATCAGTTAGTTAGTGCTATAAGTCTGCAAAAATCTTCTCCATATTTGTGTCTTTTGCATGTGTATGCCGATATCTGTATATATAATGCCTATTATTATATGTTTTATACGACAACGCCGCTGGAACTATGTCGGCCACGCCCTTAGAATGGATAAATCAAGACTTCCTTACCAAGCCCTCATTTGGACACCACAGGGGAAAAGATCTCGTGGAAGACCAAGGGAAACCCTACGTAGAACTATCATCAGGGAAGGCTCGCTCATGGGCCACTCAAACATCCAAGACCTACAACAGATTGCAACGAACCGCCATGCATGGAGAGTCATGACCTCTGCCCTATGTGCCGCACTCGACACAAGAGGAAAGACTAACTAACTAATTATGCCGATCCTTGCTTTTCTGCCTGTAAAGTTTCCAGAACCTACCTAGCGATCTATTCCCTCTGAGTTCATTTATAACATTTTCTCATTTAGTCAGCAAATACAAAAAATACCCAAAACGCCTTAGGGCGTGAAAAAAAGTCCGTTACCTTCACTGCTGATTTATATTCTCGATACTGAAGGTGGCATTCTAGCCGTAACGTTCATTTTGTCGTTAATATATTTGGGTATTATGAAGCTGACTAGTTATATTTCTCGCTTGGATTGGCATTTTTTTTTCTGAAATCTGGCACAAATACTCCATCCTCATCCAATACACTTGGTACAACTAAACCAGACCACAAATATAACCAAACGTTGCTGGCAACCTTGCTGATACTACTAGCTTGAACGTGGTCGACTTTTTAAGTAACGTTTTTTTTTTTAATATGGGCATGCACAGGGCCATTGTCTATTGCTAGCAAAGGGTATTCAACAATACAGTAGACCTAGGTCGATCCAGCCTAAAGTTTCTTTCAGGAATAGTCCTGGGAGGTAAGGGCGGTCGGTATGATGACGAACACATTACCCATTGTCTATGAAAAAAAAAAATTTCAGTATCACACACACAGAGGACCTCAGGGACTACTACTTTTTTCTGTTGCCCTGTTGCTAATACCATAGAGCTTCACAGAGAGGAGTTAAATGTAGTTTCCTGTCATTTGCTAGTTGTGTAGCTTGCGTTAATGTTATATTGCGTTTCTGTGATATTCTGTTTACTCCTTCCACCCATGTCTTTCTTGGTCGACCTCTTGCATTGTAGCCTGTTGTTCTCATGTAGTACGTTCTAGCTGCTGGCTAATTTTGTTCCATTTTCGATCAAATGACCAAAGCCTCCTCCTTCTCAGGGCCTGGTTAACCATTAAGTACACTAAGGGCATCATAAAGGGAGAGGGCACTGCAGAAATTGGAGCTGAGCGTTTAAGTTTTCGGTTGAGCTATATTTTTAAAATGTAATCAGAAAAGGTTTAGGTTTTGGTTTAAACAAAGGATCAACATCATGGTACAAGTAACCCATAACTACTCCATTCTACTTCTAACTCAAGCCTGAGTCCGAAGAATCTCAGAGCAGTGCACGAACTCTGTAGCACCGGCGAGGATCCTGAAATACTTTGGGTAGATTTTTTTCTCCACATTTTGCCCGGGCAGCCCGTTAGGTCACTTTTAGATTTTTTTTTTTTTTTGCGTTCGCAACAATAAACACGGGCGTTGGATCTTGCTATCCAGAGACCAGAGGATATTACTAGAAGTCCAAGTTTAAAAAATAACAGCCTTCGCCGGGGCTTGAACCCTGGACCTCCAGCACTAGGGGCGTATCGAATGGGAACTACAGTGCAACAAGGCAGGCTGGATGCCTTATCTCTATTAAGTCAAGAAGCAGATATAACAGTTGGTTTTCCCTAAAATGGTGGGGTTGGTTCTGCAACGTCCTGTAAAGGATACGCAACTAACTTTATACAAATATATATTATTTTCTATGTAAGTTTTGTTTTAGTTAAGCTGGATAAATACAATTTTATTTTATGGTTTGTTTTTGTTTATATTCTAAATTACATATAAACTGGGACACTAGAGCTCTCTTAACACTGAATCCCGCTAGAAGCTTGCTAAGGGCCCCACGAGCATTGCGTCCCCATGCTTGTCAATTTGAGGTTTTGGGGTTTTGAAAATCGGATCAACATCATGGCACATGGATGTAACCTATAAGTGCTCCGTTCTACTTCTTACTCAAGTCTGAATCCGAAGAAGCTCAGCACAGTGCACAGGCTTTGTAGCACCAGCGAGGATTCTTAAATACTTTGGATAGATTTTTAACTTCAAATTTTGCCCGGCCAGGGCCGTTAGGCTACTATTTTTCAATTTCCAATTGCCAAGGGATTTTTTACTTGAGCAGCAATGCGCACGGGCGTCCGATCTCAAACAAAAAGATCAATGACCATTATTAGAAGTTCAAGTCCACGTGTAAAAAATCCAAGCCCTTACCGGGGATTGAACCCGGAACCTCTAGCACTCGAGGCGGACACCAAGCCTCGAGACCACGCAGCCCCCTCCATGCTTGTCAGTTTATGTCAAAGGACGGTACACTTTACCTGCTAAAAACCAATGTTCAACATAAAGCAATGTATCCTCTGTTGGATGGAATTCCAAAGGCAGAGCCAATTACACATCTCGTGCTGTTGGGGAATCAAAGTCCCGCGAGACACGTGGCTTCTAGCGCAGCTTAAGTCAAAGGATTTCCATCTGTCTAACAGGGATCATCAAATTTGGCCTGTACACTCTATGGGGCTTGTGAAAACTGTATTTTTATTCTTGAGACTTCCATTTCCGGAGAGTCTAGCTGGCCGGTCGTCGAATTGTTGTTTGATCTTTCAGCCTGACGCTGACCTCATACATTCGGAAGGAGTAGCTTCAAATTTCCATGTT